TTGTCCGCGTAGTCAAGATCAGTGAGATGCAGGTTTTGATGACGTCTTGATTTCTTCTGCTTGATGGTTACCTTTGTCCTGGATGGAACCCAGACTTTGCCTAAGAATGTAGTCCACCACAATCACAAAGAGGAATGGTCTCCTTGAATGTGTCTCCTTGAAGGATTCCTGCTGTTGTTATGAACTCCTTCGATAGGCCGTCAATGCTTTGCACAAAGCTTGTTTGATTATCGTACAAGATGGCTGTGGCTTTGACAGTCTCATCTGGGACACCGTAATTCAAGAGGATATGCAGCATGATGTTTCTGTTTAAACTGCCTTTGAGAAATCTTCATTTACAATCGGTGCCTTTCGCTTGGATATTCTCAGCTCTTCTTTGATTCTCCTGAGGGCAAATATCTGGGGTACTGTCGATATGTCTTTGCGAAAACCATTTTGATTGCGCCGTAAGATGGGATCAATATGAGGGTAGATTCTGTTTCGAAGCATTGAGTTGTAGAGATCTTCGAGGGTAGCGGTGAGAGTGTGATTCCTTTCATTTTGCGGCAGTTGAAGATCGCCTTTCTTTGGAAGGTGAAATGATTGAAGACATTGAGAAGGCTGCAGGTTTGTTTCCTTCATGTGTCATTACAGTAAGCTACTAATGCTCGTGAAAGAGTGGGCTCCCCTAGATGACCGCAGGGATGTTGTCAGGACCTTGGTGTCTTGGTGTTTCCTAACTTTCTCGGACATTTTTGAACCTCCTCCATGGTGAAAAGGCCTGTCTGGATCGGCAGGGTATCTGCTTCTCTCTGGTTAAACAACGGATTGTGTTGCTTTGCTCTGGTTGACCGAGAAGAGAACTGAAGTACAGAAACCATGCATCTAGATGCTGTTCGGTGGTTCCACCCACAACGCGGATCACAGGGGAAGCCCTCTTGTTGGTAAACTCCCTCAGAGCCATCAGCAGAGCCATCAGCAGACAGCAGCATGCTTGTTTTCGTTTTGCAGGTTACCATTAATTTGTAGAGTGTGACCCAACATGGGAAAAAATTCCATCGGTCAAGGTGTACACCATCACTGTTGGCGGTCGACCGAACAACCCTTGCTGTCCAGCATGGGTATTTACCGATATTTATCGGTGCCAGGGGATGACGACATGTACAAAGTGTGCGTTTCCGTTCAACCTGTTAAAAACACCACCATTGAATCGGGTGAGTTGTTTGCATGGGCAGTTCTCAACTGCCCCTTCTCAACAGTCACACTTTCGAGGGGGAACTGCACTAGTCAATTCGTTTTAAACACGGGAATCGCCTGGGGTCCAGATTTATTTCCAGGAAAATGTCAGGAGTCGATGGACGTGGAAGCCAAGCGGATCGAGGCCATCGATTACGTCAGACTGTGTGGGCCTGTTCGATTACGTCAGATTGGGCGGGCTTGTTCCCATGTTGGGTCACACTCTACAAATTAATGGTGACTATCCAAGTTCACTCAGGTCCATAATAGATTTCTCATGGAAATGAGAACGAAATGGCCTCATCCCAGTCACGGAAGTCGAGTGGTAACATCCAAAACAACCCACCAAGCCGAGTGGCAAGACAGGAATTCACGGACTACCATCATGGCGGGCACCCATAAGGGAACCTTCAAAATTTCATAGGATCATGTTACCAGGTCGTCGCCGATCGGTGGGTGACACGGTAATTCGCGAAACACGGATTCCATCCGACCAGAGACCTGATTTGTGTGCGGTGTGATAAGTTGATCAACGAAAAGAATCAACAGGTTGCCAATAAAATTTCTTCCTCACACTTTCTTCCTCAGAGAAACCCGGCGATATTTATTCTGAAACCTTTGAAAAACCTTCGCCAGTCAGAAAAGATTCAGCTGGCTACAATCCCGGCCAAAATGGTTGGGACAGCAACGTTCACCCACTCCCCCCGCTCCCCCGGTCAATGTTGTTCTCTCCAGCTGATGGAGCACATACCGCGCAATGAGAGACAACATTAAACGAGATTTGGCCAGGATTGTAGGTCTAACCCTAAATCGAGTAGTTCTGGACTTGATTCGAATATCAGCATGGGCTGCATCCTTGCTTACCTGCACGTTCCAGTTCATCAATATTTTCGATTGCAGTACAAAGAAAATAATTGATGTTCCAGTTTAAAACATTCCTGTGAGCAGTGATAAATCTGACAAGCACTCATAAAAATCTCCAATATGTTCCTAAAAAAAAATAGATGGTTGGTAACAGTAGCATAGCCGGCTACTTGGCAATAATGACGGCAGATTGTCGACTTCGCATGCGCCCACTTCAATCATACCTTGTTCAGCTATCGGCAGACACACCCCGTCACTCTCATAGTACCAGTTATGTACCACCGTTCCAGTAGACATGTTATCAGAAGTTTTCCACAGTGAATGAAAATCTGAAGACCCCGCCCCCTCCACGCGTAAACGTGCCAATCTGCTCTATGGGTAGATAGCGTGCCGTAGACTTTCTTATAACAGTTGTGTTGATCTAGTCTACTAGCGAATACGTGTAGAGCATCCCTTCCTCCTCACTTAGGGCTCAATGAGAGCCTGCTCTCGAAAGAAAAGAAAAAAAAGAGGAAGGACATGGCTGGTACACCGTTGGGCATGGTGATTATTACTCTTCATGAATAAATCGTGCCCTTAAAGGCTTTATGGAAATATGCATAAGTATATGTTTTCTCGGTCAATTTCGGCAAATGAGCAGCCAATTTAACCACTACGCTATTCTATTTCGCGCGAAACCAAATGCTACTGAAAAGGGTCATTCGATTTCGTTTTATGACCAGTCAAATGTACTGTTGCGTCATTCGATTTAACAAAATAATCATGCAATTTAACAATTCAACAAAGCAGCATTCAAATTCGCAGGAGCTTTTTAAGGCGTGTGTTTAGTCATTCAAATTCATTTTTGGGCAGTCATTTCTGGAATTTGAGCAATCTAAAAAATGTTTGTTAAATTTTTGTTTCCTTAAGAATGTTGAAGGCATAAATACGGTTTACTTTTTGGCACTTGAGTCACTTTGCCGATGTACTTCGAAGACGAGCTTTCGCTACAGTTTTACACGCATATTTCTAGATATGGCAGTTCGTGGTCGCTACGCTAGAGTGGCCCAGGTAGATCGAGAAAGGTTGATTGAGGCCTTCTAGAGAAACGAGCAAGACTACCTTCAGCTTGCGGTCAATTTGAACATCAACAAGTCCACAGCCAGATCAATTGTTGCAACATATTTGAGGACTGGAAGGCGAGAGACGCTGGCAAGAGGAGGAGCAACCCACAGCAAGATGGATGATGACATGCGAAACCATCTGCAAGGCATCCTTGACGCTAATCCCGTCTTGACACTTCAACAAATGAAGGCTAGTTTGAGTGAGCATCTGCAAGAGAAGCCCCAGGTTTCTACTGCCACCATAGCCAGGGCCTTGGATGGGATGATGATTACACTGAAACTAGTGGAGGACGTCCCTGATGCAAGAAATTCCCCTGAAGTTCTTGATCAACGCGTCCAGTATGGTGAGTGGTTCCTGCAGCATGGTGTTCTGGCGCATCTAGTCTTCATTGACGAGACAGGTTATATTGTCTGGACTCGACGCTCCCAGGGTAGAGCTCCACGAGGGATCGCTGCAAGACGAGTCGTCAACAGACAACGAGGGACAAATTGCAATGTCACCTTCGCTGTCTCTAGTGATGTAGGCTTGGTGCACCATCGAATCGCATTCGAAACTGTGACGCGAGAGAGATTCGAGAAGTTTCTTGCGGACACAATTCAAGAGTGTGATGCAGTTTTCCCAGACGACGAACCCATTTACCTCATATACGACAATGCGAGGCCTCATGTGCGAGCCCAACTCCCTGAAGGTGCCAACCCAATTGATCCAGCCGAAGCGCCTCCCTCCCAACTCCCCATTCCTGAACAGCACGGAGATGGCACACTCTGCATTCAAGGCTGCAGTTAAACGCATCCTTGGGTTACCTGAGTGGCAACAACGTGTCGGAGACAGACAGGCTGCCCAGCAAGCAGGAATGAACATGCAGCAGTGGAGGTGCGATCTCCTTCAACAAGCAGCCATCCATAGCGTTTATGTCATCCCCCAAGTGAAGTGCATGCAGTGGTACAAAGAAACAACATAAACAATAAAAACCAGGAAAAACATAAAGAAACACAGCATTCAAACACAATACAAAATTAGGTCTTGGTCAGTTAACCAGTAAAGATCCCCCCCCAAAAAAAACAATTAAAATGAAGAAGAAAACAAAGAAGAAGAAAAAACCTCATTGGCCCCATGTAAAGTCTACTGGAAGCATGAATAAAGAAAACAAGGTTTGCCTGAATTAAAGTGAAGATACGAATCAGTTGCCTGGTAGAGTTTATCTGTTTATTCGTATTTCTTTAGTCGTACTTATTTGAATTCTCTTTAAGCGAAATTGATTGCCTCTTAAAGAAATTGAAAAAAATTAAATCAGTAAAATCTCCAGTCGAACCAGCTTTGCTAAATTGAATGATGATTGTGTGTCACGAAAAAGAATGACGATATGCTAAATTGAACACGGTGCTAAAGGAATTTGAATGCCTCAAAACGAAATTGAATGGCCGAATTCTGAATTTGAAACGCAGTAACAACTGGAGAGGCAAAATAGCTTCAATTCGAACGCACGAAAATTAAATTGGCTGCTCATTTGCCGAAATTGACCGAGAAAACCTATAGTATCTCTGTGGGTGAAGGGGAAGGGGGAACTATTGAACGCGCCATTTGCTAATTGGCAACAAGGCTATCACGAATGTGCAGTGTATGGTGATGAGCTTTGATTTCAGCTGGATTCGAAAGTTTCTCTGGCAACTTAAAATGGAGACAGGGACACTACTTTTCAGGTTTTGAAACCTAGGCAGTTGAAAGGTCGTGGAGAAACTAGTGCGTAAAGCTGTAAACATTTTTGTAAATAGTCGATCGTTGCTTCCTTTCATCATCATTTGTATTTTCTTTTTCAGGCGGGAGAGTTGGAGAGGATTTTACAAAGGCATGTTGGCAAATCTACTGCGGGTTGTTCCTGCATGCTGCATTACTTTTGTAGTGTATGAAAATGTAAGCCAAATGCTTACATCTCAAAGTCATTGAAAAAAAATCAAGGCTTCAATTCTGAAGACTTACGTTAAGATTTCTTTCCCTGGGTTTCACTGTTGTTTTTTCCTTGAAGGAATCCGGTTTTAAATCGGGATATCCGTATGTTAAAATGATATACACTTTAATTATGGTTTGTAACTTGTAAAGGGAAGATACAACGTTTGCAAAACTCAGAAAACGAAATGATCAAATTATCCCGAAATATCTCAACTGGTGAAGTTGTGGCTCCTGGTTGTGCTGACATTATCAAGAATTTTTTTCCCCAACCCAACATTGGAGGAAACTGGCTTTTTTTCGAAAAGTGCTCCTAATTTTTTATATTTAGTTTGTCTGCGTTTCCTTTGCATGATTAGACACCGTTCAAAATTACAAGCCTGCTAAGACTGATGCCCTGATTTTACAATTCCCCAAAGTCTATAAATTGCTCCGTTTCATCTTAAGTCGGTCAGGAAACCAGAATACAACAATATAACTTGTTATCTTGGTTTTCCAGCTTCTACGGACCCAAAACGTGAAAAAAAAGGTCAGTGTAACAATAGTTGCTGTAACACTCTCCAAACCATTTATTTCTGAAAATTGCAGCAAAAGCAAACGTTGTACATTCCTTTGAAGTAAAAGGCATTGGTGATTATATTAAACTTTCTGGATTCCTGTAGGATCATGCATTTCGTTAGGATCATCCATTTCGTGTATGATATTCAAAATCCAAAGCAGAACTTTAAAAATGTAATGTGTTTTCGAGAAAACTGTGTAAACACTATTTTCCATTGCTTTCTTAGTATTTCAAGTGCGCAATTAAAGTTAGCATTTTGATGACTTTCTAGCTTATAGAAAGATATCATATCCTTTACTTGTCGAAAATTGTAATTGTGTTATTTTAAAAAGTTTTCAAAAAATTGCTTAAAAAGAAGAAAAATGTTCGGTACCTTGTCAAGAGTTTCTATTCCTTAGGCGCTTTTAATTTGTCATTACTATATCGCTACAAGACGTTTATTCAATGGATGAAAGCTGATTGATAATTAATAAAATGTCTCCGAGATAAAGAAAAAATTATATTGTTCACTTATTCAATTATTATTTAATTTGTCATTTCTAAATCAATACAAATGTATCATACTGTGGTGAATTCTTCCGTGAGAAACGCGGAGACTAAGACTTTGAGAAACAATCACTCAGAATTATATATTAAAAAAAAAAAAAAAAAAATCGGTGGACAAAACCTAATTGTTATTATTGTTAAAAAAAAATAAAACAAAAAATTGGTGAAGGGCAAAACCTATTTGTTATTATTGTTAAAAACAAAAAAACAAAAAATCGGTGAAGGGCAAAACCTAATTGTTATTATTGTTAAAAAAAAAAAAAAAAAATAACCAAAAGATCGGTGAATTTTTTTTTTTTTAACAATAATAATAAGTTTTGACCTTATTGTTATTATTGTTATTATTATTAATAACAATAAGGTTTTGACATTATTATTGTTAAAAAAAAATCGGTGAAGGGCAAAACCTAATTGTTATTATTGTTAAAAAAAAAAAAAAAAAAAAAAAAAAAAACGGTGAATTTTTTTTTTTTTTAACAATAATAATAAGTTTCGACCTTATTGTTATTATTGTTATTATTATTAATAACAATAGGGTTTTGACATTATTGTTAAAAAAAAAACAAAAAAAAAATCGGTGAAGGGCAAAACCTAATTGTTATTTTTGATAAAAAAAAAAAAAAAAAAATCGGTGAAGGGCAAAACCTAATTGTTATTATTGTTAAAAAAAAAAAAAAAAAATCGGTGAATTTTTTTTTTTTTTTTTTTAACAATAACAATAAGGTTTTGACCTTATTGTTATTATTGTTATTATTATTAATAACAACTAGTGCAGTGCCCGTCTAAAATGTGCATGTTCGGGAAGCGCAAATTGCTTTGCCGCTGGTATAGGTTGCATACTTGCAGAGGTTTGGAGAACTGCTCGTGCAAACAACGCACGCGATTCAATGGTGTTGTTTTCACAGGTTGAACGCAACACTTACGTCAAAAGTTGTGCCAAGTTTGAAGTTCGACCACCTACAATGGTCGCTCAGTCGACTGCAAAAATAATGTGCCCGTGTACATACGAAAACATGGTATGTAGTGCTATTCACCTGTACTGGACAATGTGTCGCCCTACACCACTGCACGTGCGCGTGTCCGTCCTTTTTGCATTGTTTGCGTCATATTGAGCACGCGCGCTTTAGCTTATACATGACGTAAACAATTGAAAAGAACGGCAGTGCGTGGTGTTATGTTCTAAGCTGCCACGTTTGCCTCCGAAAATACTGCTGTTTTGCAGCTTTTTCGAAAACCGCTCATCCAAACCACTTCTAACTTGGCACTGCACATTCTGTTGTCCCGAGCAATACACCCGCCGATTTTCAACTTCATACGGTGCCCTGTTCTGGAGATAATCGACGGACGGACAGACAGACAGAGATTCCTGGAATTATAGTAAGACTAGTGCAGGGCCAGTCGAAAATGTGCGTGTTCGGAAGGGGCAGTTGAGAACTGCAGCTCGTGCAAATAACGCAAATTATTCAATGAGTGTGAACGCACACTCGCAAGTTAAACGCACAAAATGTCGTCACCCCCCCCCCCCCGGGACTGATATTTCCCCCTACTGGACAATATAGTATCGTCCTACAACTGTAGCCCTGGCGTAGTTGTAGGGCGATACCATATTGTATTAGAGTTGCTCAGTCGACCGCCTACATACAGTGCAGTGATGGTTGCTCAGTTGACTACAAAATGCGTGTGCCCGTGCCCGTGCATGCCACTCACGTACGAAGACATGGTGTGCAGTGCTATCGCCCTACAATGTGCCCGTCCTTTTTTTCATTGTTGCGTCATATTAAGCACGCGCGCTCTTGCTCAAACATGACGTAAACAATTGAAAAGAACAGCAGTGCGCGCCGGGTTCTAGGCTATATTCTGGCGCGCTAGGCCTCAGAAAATACTGCTTTTTTGCAGCTTTTTCGAGGACCGCTCTTCCAAACCACTTCAAACTCAGCACTGCACATTCTGCTGTCCCGAGCAATACACCCGCCGATTTTCAACTCCATACGGTGACTACAAGAACAGCAGTGCGCGCCGGGTTCTAGGCTATATTCTGGCGCGCTAGGCCTCAGAAAATACTGCTTTTTTGCAGCTTTTTCGAGGACCGCTCTTCCAAACCACTTATCTGGAGATAATCGGCGGACAGACAGACAGACGGACAGACAGACAGACAGACAGAGATTCCTTGAATTGTAGTATAGATAAGGTTTTGACATTATTATTGTTAAAGAAAAAAAAAAAAAAAAAATTCGGTGAAGGGTTTTTTTTTTTTTAAATTTTAATGAGATCTATAACGCGACTAATGAGTAAACATCCTAAAAGTAGCTATATACGGAGTTTAAGTGGTCTTACGTGTGCAACAATTACTTCTCGAGAAAACGCAATGCAACAAAACTAATAACATTAGTTATAGATCTCGTTGGTATCTTGTACATACCCGAAAACCCGAAAACTGGGTAAAAACACCAATGAGATATCGCCAATCGCAATCTCGTTAAAATAACAGTCATAAAATCGACAATAAACGACCACTGCAATTATCAACCTCTCTCCCCTTTTCAAAACAAAAGGAAATCTATGTGTCCACTAATCAAGATTCATTCAATAGGCTATATTCATAGGGTTTTCAATATTCATTTTAAGCCAAACACTTAAATTGTAAGTGTTTGGCTTAAAATGAATATTGAAAACCTCGAGAAAACGCAATGCAACAAAACTAATAACATTAGTTATAGATCTCGTTGGTATCTTGTATGTAGAGAGAAACGCAATGCAAACGCATTGTTCACTCTGGTACTCACGTAGTTGATGGCAACGACTCGTTTGTGGGACCTGATACCAGAGACAACAGCCGATCTAATGTCCGCTAGTAGAGATCCACGTAGCACATGCACGTCCGATGTTTGGTCCAAGCGCGTCGGTTCGTGCCCTCAGGACGTTCTGGTTCTTCACAGCTACCGCTTCTATTTTTGCGTCCAGCATCTCGAGTTTCCCCATAACTGCCGAAGGGTAGACGGCAGCTTGCTTTGCGACTGATTGGTCAGCTTCATCAAAGTTAAATGTCCAAGCCGCTTTGTCATGGTCTGCCGACTGATGCTTCCTTTTTGGGCAGCGACGTCGGGGTGGACTATTCTCCAAGGGGCTGGGGATACAGGCTCAGTCACCGGTCGGTAGGGACTTGGTTCATCACGTAGGGGGGTGGACTCATGATGGTGGGAAGATGCGCCCACGGCGCGGCGCAGCCACCTCCCTAATAGTGTGTCTGGGTTGCTGGTTTCAGTAAACGGGTACCACCTGATGGAATGTCTCAAAAAAATCCGCTAGTGTGGTGCTAGTCTTAGTCTGACGTCCCCAGGGCAAATCTTGCAAAGACTAGTTGGTAATTTCCATCGCTTTCTTAAATTTCCGTCGAGAATTACGCTGGTTGTCTGGGACATATCCCCTGTCTCCAAGATCCAACTGATGAATTCGTCATGTTCCAAAGTTTTAAATCACAGCCGCGTCAATGCGTACATTCTAAATGCACAACGAACAACAGGGGCGTCATTTTGGCTCAGTTGCAGGTCCATAGGCTCCATTGTTCTAGGTCAATCGATTCAGTGTCTCTTTGCACATGCATCCGCGAACGAGTAACCGGTCCTACACCGTCGTCCCTTTGACACAAAGTTGCTGTGTCACAGACGGCATTATTTCCAGAGTCACTTTTTACACGGGGGTTTCTGATCAAGGTGTGTTGTCGCTTAGTCCAATTAGGGACTTCACTTGCAACAAAGGGCCAAGGTCTATAGTGGTGCAGCACTTTGTCTCCTTTTTAGAGGAATAGAGGAGAAAAAGAGAATGAACATATTCACTTTAACGATCCGATCCATCTCCTTACCTCTGGTTCACTGTAAATGCTGCCTTTGGCAAGCAGGTAATGCTAGCGGAGTAACTTCGCCGATAGTTAAAGTTAGTTCAAGTTAGTTCAAGTGCACTAGTTAAATTCCGACAACGACAATTGTGCACTGCTTTACATGGCGTAGACGTCCAACGATTGCACAATGACACACAATAGAGATCCAGCGATCGTCTGCAATAGGCAAGGCTCTGGAAGATCTTTTAGAAGAAAAGATGTTTAGAAGACTATGGCTATGGAACTACATGTTGTACAATACTCTCATATCTATCAATGGCAGGGACGTATCCCGACGAACTCCACCAGTGGCAGCACTTGATATTAGTATCACGCAACACTTAATTAAGGGCAGGGAAGTAACAAAATACATCACCTTGTTTACAGCACGTTAGCAGTGGCCAGCAAAGCAATAGCAGAGACAAGTGGAATATCTCTATTAATCTGAATATAAGGTACTTTATCAACAATGTGCACAAACCTAACAAACCCAACCACATCAAATTCAGTGAACCTGACCAACGGGACTCCTCTACACAAGGTCCTTCCATTGTATCTCCCTCAGTCTCTCTTCCATACAAAGGTCCAGCTTCTAATCATCTTCAACGCATCATCCGACAAGCCGGCGTCAAGTGTACCATTCATCTGGCAACAAGTTCCAAACTCACAAGGACAAGCAGGACTCTTCTTCCAAGCCAGAAGTCTAGAGCATTCCATGTGAATGCGGCAAAGTCTACATAGGGAAACCGGTCGGGTTCTTCCTACTAGGCTCTAAGAACACAAAACACATGGACGGCTAGGGGATTTTGACAAAACGGCCATTGTCAAACAACGACCACAAAGTTGATTGGGATGCGGCTTTGAACTCATCGCACATCGCTGCGTTGAAGTTATAGCACCAAGACGCATGCGGGAAGCCATTAAGATCCGCAAGCAACAACACAGTTCCGCAAGACATCGGGTTTCACCTATACGACATCTGGCTCCCACTCCTCCAGACTGATAGTTCTCCTATAACCTAGGTCCTCCCTCTACTGAGACTGCAACCCTACTGTTCCACTTCAATGGGCACACCAAGCTTCCTCTAGATGCAACTTAAGTGTTTACCTTCTTAGTGTTTAGGCACTCTCCTGAAAACAGTCTGAGCATTCTGACCGGAACGTTTAGTTTATACCTCTGGTTCTATTCAAAACCATTCTCTTAATTGAGAAATTATTCGCACGTGGTGTTTCCGCAAACTGTTCATTATTTAATGTGCACTACAGGAGCTGCAGTCTGCCCCACTGTTTGCAGTCTGTGTTTTCAGTGGTGATCATTGGAGAAATGCCAGAATGAAGAGAGAAGTTGCAATGCTTTTAAGTTATACAGACACTGGCGATTTTGCGTACTTTGTCTGTGCTCAAAATATTTTAAAAATAAACAATCATGCTGCATAAATGCATGCACGTGCCGAGAATGAACCAATCAAGGGCTTTAAATTGGAGCTAGTTACCTATTTCCTTGTCTCAGTATCACACGTTGTCCACCCAGGCTAAGACTCTGTGACGGAGTTTCATTTCATTCCCAGATAAGGACTTAGATTGTGATTGGTCAATTTCGATGCCGAATTTTTGTAATACGACACCCTGTACAAAAATGCTCCTCATCGTGGGTGTGATGAAATACTTAAACAGATTAGGCGATTATTTATACCACTAGACTGCATTATAAATGACCTCAAGAAACTGACCAATCAGCAGGCGCCTTCTTAACCCGCGTTAATCGAGCTCCCTGCTTTCTTAAAGTTTTTGTGTACAAAAATTGTGTACTCATCGTGGGCGTGATTAAAAGGCTTTTTCGAAACCCCATTATTCTGTTGTTAATTGGGCCCCTCTATAAAAAAAAAAAAAAAAAAATTATTATAAAAAAAAAAAAAAAAAAAATTAATTTAATATAAAAAAAAAAAAAAAAAAAAATTATTATAAAAGTAAGTTATAACGAAGATGGGTTTTGAATTGCTTTTGATCACGGAAATACTTTCAAATTATTTTTTTGGACTCAAAAATGGGTTTCTATAATGTAATTTTTGTTTCTGTAACAAAATCCATATTCATTTTAGTAATTAAAAAAAAAAATTTTTTTTTGAATTTTCTTAACACAAAAATAGGCGCCCAAATATAATGTTTTTTTCTCATTTTTTAAAATGTTTAACATGAAAAAGGCCTTTCAATTTTCTTTAAGCACAAAAATGGGAGTTTCAACTGATTATTGCCTGATTAACTGCTTGAATTTCATACGACATGCTGGTTGGAAAATTACGCAAATTAAAACATCATGACTCGATGACGAAAATCAATATTCTAAAAAAATCACTTTTTAATACATGGTTTATTGGTACCAAATTAACACTTTTGCACAAACAATAATGCAGAGAAGAGTGAAAATCAAACACTGCACAAAGATATGGCTTATGTTCGGATTAAACTTGTGCAAAAATAATATATTTATACATACAATCCTGCATGAACCATTAGCAGTACTGTTATTTGGCCTATGATATTAAAGGGAATATACATTTGGTTTTGCCGTAAGTTTCAGAAATGGATGGTTTTGGGGTTAAGTATCTTAATAGCAAATATTGTTTCAGACTTTTTTGAGTTTTGTGTGCGCAGATGCTGGAAAAAAGCAAGAAAAACAATCACGTTAAGTCTGGCTCACTTTACCCCACTTTAAATGACACGGAGCAATTTTTAGACGTTGTGGAATTGTAAGGTCAGGGAATCAGTCTAGTTAGCTTGCACCCGTTAAAGGACATTTGATTCAATTGCAAACTTAAATGTGGACTGAATAAATTTCGTAAATTGGGGGGCAGTAGTTGAAAAAAGTCAGGAAATAAATATAAACATCACTTTTCTTGAAAATGACAGCACCAGTTGCCATGATTCATGGAATGCTTTTAGACTGCATTCACTAACAGTCCAGTAAAGTATTTCATAATAATTTGGTAGTTTTTGTTTTGTGACGACAGATTCTCCCAGACCAGTGGAAACATTAAATTTGGAACCAGTATGACAATTTGCAGCTTGAAAGTAGGAAAAATTTGCAGCTATTCCCAAACATCGGAATAGTGTAAATTGAAGAGTTTCATCGAAGCCCCAAAACATTGGAACCGACACTAAGATCACTCACTCAACAACCCTGATTACATGTTTGAGAATTTAAATTCTCAAGATTGTTCAGTTTGAATGCCAACTTTGACCAGACAAAAATCACCAAACAGACCTTTCTCAACCTATCGTTTTTTTAGGAGCAAATTAGAAAGCAATGGGAAATATTCATGGTCTGTTTCAACAATTTAAATAATTGGTTCGCTTATCTAGGAATTTCATTACAATCCTGACTGTCGTAGGTCAGTTGACCTATTCGATTCAGACTCACTTCCTTCATCAATAGAGGGATTATCTTCAAGTACATGCATATGAAATAACACAAAAATACCGTTTGACATTAATGATAATCCTACACAAACACCGTTAAGAATTTACTAACAAAACAAAAAATATAATACGAGCTTTAAGAAAATGGTGTGATATTACCAAGGTTTTGACTCGACAGTTTCAATCTGTCGATATCTTTTCCTAAGATTAGAAACAGGGTCCTTGTAGAGAACTGGGTCAAGGCGCATTTGAGACCGAATCAGAGGCATATATCCAAATTCTTTGACAAACACATTTATACAGTGCATATTGTGGTTGAACTGTTGAACCAAGTCCTCCCCTTTATTGGACATTACATCCCGGTAATGTTTCTTCTGTGTTACTTTGATGGGAGGAGAGTGCGTCACGTGCGCCACGACAAAATTCATGAGAATGTGTCCACAGCTACTTCCAGGGCTATCATCAGGCAGTAATGATGGAGCATACCTTGTGTACAAATGATTGTAATACCTATGATAGATAAGGGACACAAGTAAAATAAAGAATGTCAATAAAGTGCAACAATTATAGGAAACAATAACGACACGCAATACAATTTGTATTTCAGTGTAACATCTTGTACTTTTGTACGTATGCACAGAAAAAAATGAGATCTCATCGGGATGGCGTAAAATTCAGATTAATTTTATAAACATTATGTATATTTAAGTCATAATTTATAAGTATTGTTTTTAGGCAGCCAAAAGCTTTGTACATGAAAGTTCGTAACAGGTAAAAGGTCCGACTCCTAAGTTCCTAGGTGGAGAATACATGGTTAATCACAAGTATCTTCAAAAAAGGAAGTGAAATATTTAGATATGCCAATTATCAAACACAAAACATTGTTTTAGAACATTGGATTTAAATTGCATTTTAATTCTGAAAATGCATCTGCTTTCATGCCGAGTATTGAGCAGCGTTTTCAATTATTAAAGGACTAAATATGACTAGATTCTAAGTCGACATACCTGTGGTAAAAAGCCGTATTGGTGAGTACGATTGAATACTCATTAATCCAGCGTGACGTGTAGCCCCATGCTGATTTTGTCTCATCCCAGAAATGGGATCTAGCTGGATAACCAACTATACGTTCTGGAAAATCGCGCCAAACAGCAAAAGCAAACTCCACCTTTTAAAAATACAAAAAAAAATAATTAACAAAACAAGACCACAAAGATACACCCAAAGTGGTCGAGCGATAGGACATCAGCGGCTTCATTCATTAAACAAATTGTACAACTTCGTGTTATACACGCAGCCAAGTCGCCTGCATAACGTCTGATATATCTAAGCACGCAGATTTATGCTATCCCGCACCTCAGCCAATTGGAGTCGACGTTACTAAATTTTGACGTCATTTCATTCCAAATCAGGACTAAACGTTCGATTGGTCGAATTGCCAGTGTTTGCAACCTGACGCCACTTCCGCAGTTGTGTACAAAGTCTATGGACAGTCGATACAACTGTTTTCCTAACAATTGGAAATACTTTTCAGTCCCAGATTCATTGTCTTATCATCATTTCTGCAATGAACGACCTTAAATGAGATGATATATGAAGGACAAAAGTGGTGTCAGGAATTACGGAAAAGCCATTCAATCATATGACTGAATAAGCTTTTCCTTAATTCGTTCGGTGGAAACTCCGAGTCACAGAAAGTTGGGTTACAAATGCATCATTTTATTGGCTCGTCTTTGTAATGAGCCCTCTAATCCGAATCACCGACAATGTGTGGGTTGACTAAAACGAAAGAACGCTAGTAGGGCAATGGTAGGAGGGTGAGGGACGACAATAGTAGGAGGGGGAGGGAGGGGGAGCTAACAATATATAGACCCCCGGTTACGCAGCTGCTTCAGTGAAATGGACCTGCACATGTTTTTAATATCCATGAAGTGGCTTTCCTTCCCAATCTCTGAGCCTTTTCCTCATTCTTTCCGTCTTTGTACGCTATTCCTCCATTCCTGTCCTCGCAACTTCAATCCTTCCTGGGCCCGGCTGACGTATCCCGTATCCCTGCAGACTTTACCTATCGATGTTAAAATCTCAACACTCGTCAACCCCGGCATTGTCCTTGGTCCAATCAACTTGAGGCACTTCTTTACTCTGCTGATGTATTTCGTGCATCATAATTCTTTGCTCATCATACACTCTCTACCACTCATTCTCCCCAACGCCTTTAACTGTGACCCATCAGCCAGGAAAATGACATCCAAATACACCTTCATACCCCATCCTCACCGTCAAAAGGCACACTTTCTCTAACTGCATCCCTATGGTCGCCACTATGAATCCGAATCGTCTACACCTGAGAATCTACACCTTCTCGTTCTCAGCTAACAACTTGAGATCATCCGTGAAGAAGAGAATCTATCTTGCAGCCATCTCATAACCAGCACCGACCTTCCGTAGAACCAGTGACAACGGCATCAATATGCCAGAACGATCAACAGTGGAGTCTCCTTGTAAAATCCCATGTCTGATATTTACCTCGTCCAGATTTTTGTTATAAGCTGCCAAGTTCATCCTCCAGGCCTTCATATACCATTGCCTGATTGATGTTCCGACCACTCGGCAATCCCAACTAAATTTCAAGCATTCCATGATCGATGAGTTGCGGCACAACGCCTCGTAATCAATCCATGCCACCGCCAAATTTGTCTTGCTTTTCTTACTTCCTTCAACACATCCGTTCTGATCATCTAGAAATAGGTCAATCTCCTCCAAGTGACAGTAGAATTCCTCGGCTGTCATACCAGTCAATAGCTTGTACGTCACGGGGAAAAAAATATAGGTCTATTATTACTTGCAACACTTCCATTCTTGACGTCCTGCATGATCAAGACAGTTCTTTCCACAGTCATCCACTTTGAGATATCCATACACACAAGAAACTCATGAAAATGGATTGCAAGTCTGCCATGCGGGCTGCTGAAATTTTTCAGAGAACGACATCCTGAAGGGGAGGGGCGGTTCAAACCTTTTGGAGGGTGATAGAGGAGGAGGGGAACCCCTATAGAGCTTCTGCCAGTAGGGAGTAATATGAACATTACTTTCAATATGTGTACATAAATTTAACAAAATATATGCCTTCCACATTAAACGAAATAAGGGGCGGAGTCACTGCCCGTATACCCCTCCCGAGTTTCAGTTTTGTGTTCCTAACAAATAACAAACAATCTCTATTTCGACACAAAAACTTGTGTTTTTAAACAAAGTGCTGGTGTTCTGCCTCAAAGTTAGTGAAAGTATGTTGAAGAAACACAGAAAAACACAAGAAAAATAATTTTAAAATATAACAGCGTTTCTTATCTTCTTATCTGATCCAAGAAGACAAATGGATTCCAAAAATTTAACATTTCAAACTGACGGGGAAACATTGGCCCCTCCTATATATATATAAGAGGGCAATCATTGCGGAAGTTGCCAAGTTTCTTGTTTTTTTTCCCTTCAAATCATGTATGTTGAGAAAAACCTACTGTAAACATAAATGAAAAATAAAAACTTTAAAATAGTAATTACGAAACGGTAACGGAATTACGGTAACGGAATTACGCATGAACAAAGTATGCACATTTCCTCCAGATTATGTACTTGACATATTGAATAGGAGATTTGCATGTTACCTTGGACAATAACTTTAAATACTAAATTACCTAGTTAAACTATTTCCCTCTTTAATTTGCTATTATACAATTAAAAATAATCAGGTGTTCCATTAATATTTTTTAATTTTACTTTTTCTTTTTTACCATTTAAAAAATGCTAATAGTTGTTCGGATGCTTAAAGGGAATATACAACATTTGCAAACATCGAAAAATAAAACTACCAAGTTTTTACGACATACCTTACTAGGATGTTGGTAAATGACAGTCTAAAGCATCCTATGAAATTATGGCACCTGGTGTGAAGTCATTTTCAAGAAAATGGTATTTTTGTATACATTTCCAACGGTGGTCAGCCGACCACCGTTTTGAAAAACCTAACTATTTTTCAACTACTGCTCCAACTTTACACTTTTTTTTCAGTCCAAATTTTGTTTGCTATTGGTTACATGTTCATGAACGGGTGCAGGCCAGCTAAGACTGGTTTCCTTACCTTACAATTTTCCGGCATCCATAAATTGATCCATTTTATCTTAAGTGGAGTCAGGGAGCCAGACTACTTTTTGGTTTGTCTTGGTTTTTCCAGCATTTTCGAACACAAAACTTTAAACATGTCAGTGTAACAGTATTTGATCTATTATACTACCCCCTCAAATAGTTCTGAAAATTACAGCAAAAGCCATGAGGTACAATTCCCTTTAAATATGTGTTGCCAAAGCTATTGTCTGGTACCCACAGAAAATGTATTCCACAAGTATATGAAAGTTGAGTATCAGACTGTACTTGTACTTCTACTTGACATAACTTTACATCTTCCCTTGCTCAGAGATGCCAACCAGTACAGTTTTATTGTATCGTGCACGATAAACTAGTGAAATACGATAATACAATTGTGCATAGTAAAATTCGATTTTCGGTTAAAAAAAAATGTACATTGGAACCGGCAATGGCAGCCATCACCAGACTGCTTTCATTTGACCTTGACCTTTGACCTAAAAAAAATGAAGCCCAGACATGTTTAAGCCTACATTTACATTTTGATCTGCTAATTTTCACTTAGCTTTCCCCTTGTGCCATTTTATAAACTTCTAAAATTTGTATTGTGATGAGTTTATGTTGAATTCAATGTTAATGTATTGCATTTACCTATTAAACCTATGGTGTAATTCCGTTACCGGTCCAGGCGTAATTCCGTTACCGTGATTAAAATGCAAATTATGAAAAGAGTGATTATTTTTCAACTTTGTTCTGCATTGTAGTTAACAACAACCCTGAACTCTACAAATAACAGGTAGTGTCCAATTTTAAAATTTCAAAACTTCAGAGAGTTTTATTAATTTATGCGAGAACTCAAATATGCTTGTCCTCCGTCCGTAATTCCGTTACCCTTTAAAGGGTAATCTCGTGGGATTTTTTTTTTTAGCGGTCAATAAATTCTATTGGGTCTTGGCTCCCTTTCCATGTTTAGATTAGTTGCCTAGCATAGAACATATTTTCTTGGGAAGAATAATCATTGACAAAGTGACAAATTGGCGTAATTCCGTTACCAAAGAATTGCCCAAATGTTAACCTTAATTAAAACCCACAGGAGTATCATTTAGTTTTCCCCATGCCTCATTTCACAAAGGTCACAGCAACATTTGTGGACACTGTGACCAAAAGTTCCTTGCCTCAAGGGGTTTAGGCCAAGAATTAAGAGTATTCTCAACAATTACACCCCAAAAAATCGACTTTAACTTCGTGTAAAAGTTTTTATTACAATATTCAGACGGACATTTTCTGGGGGGGGGGGGGACATTCAGTGAAACTATGTCTCATCACTTAACTAACGCCAAGTCATGTTTATTTATTTATGACTACCTAAACAAACATGACTTGGTGTAATTAGTGATGGGACATAAGCACTGTAAACGAGTGACAAACATTGTACATTCTGACCGTTTTTTTTTACTTGTGGGTGAATATGTATTATAGCTACACTCTAAAAACATTAATGACATTTTTACAACATATCTAGTTTTAAGTCTCGTTTTATTACGTCTCGTTTTTTTACCATTGTTACGTTACTGACCTTATGTGTATGAAATAAAAATCTACACGCACGTTATAAAAAAGTAAACCATGGTATTCCTAATTCTGTGATATTTTATTAAATTGGGACAGGGCCAGTCGAAAATGTGCGTGTTCGGAAGGGGCAGTTGAGAACTGCAGCTCGTGCAAACAACGCACATTATTCAATGGTGTGAACGCACACTCGCAAGTTAAACGCACAAAATGCCGTCACCCCCCTGGCACTGATATTTACCCCTACTCGACAATAATGGTATCGCCCTACAACTGTAAGGCGTAGTTGTAGGGCGATACCATATTGTATTAGAGTTGCTCAGTCGACTGCCTACATACATGTACAGTGCAGTGATGGTTGCTCAGTTGACTACAAAATGCATGTGCCCGTGCATGCCACTCACGTATATGTACGTACGAAGACATGGTGTGCAGTGCTATCGCCCTACAATGTGCCCGTCC